AGCTGGATCCAGAGGGAGGCGAGGGATGCCGTCTTCACCACAGTGAGCACCCCTTTCTTATTGGACGCCCCCAACATCAGGCGGACAATGACCTCCCGGTGCACTTGAAGGGCGGGGCAACGGACAGCATTCTGTACCGACTGACCATGGCGCTGTGCGTGGGAGGTGAGTGCGGGCCGCTCCGAGCGAGCTTTAGGAGGCGCGCTCCTGCTGGTTCCCAGCTGGGATTTAGGGAGGGGATTGGGGACTGTACTGGAGTCCACGCTAGCAAATAGGGAGGGAGCTCCCTAGGACTTGGGCTTCTGTCCCAGGAGGGGATCTGGGGCCCTGGCAGGAGGTGGGTAGAAAGCTCAGGGCCTGGTCTGGACCAAGGACCATGGATTCCCTGCCTGAGGTTGAGGAGGGAGTTTGAACCATGACCTGGGGCTGGGATCCATACTGGTGACTGAGGAGTCTGCAGTGGGGCTTAAAAGCCCAAGATGGGGTTCAGGGAAGCGATTAGGATCTCATGCTGTATCCCCCACACTCTCCCTAGGCACCGTCTACAGCCTATATTGCCTTGGCTGGGCTTCCTTCCCGCACAAGAAGTGAGACCAAGAAGTCTGCAGAACGTGAAGAACTTGAACAGCTTAAATAAATATGCTGGCTTCTTGGGGGAACCCAGCCCAGCTCTGGCTTGTGTGTATGCCCCTCAGCCCGTCCTCCGATTAGCAAGCAATCTCTGTCCTATGGACAGCCCATTGCCCCAGCCTTGAGTCCCTCATTCTAGACCTGGACTATTTCTAGGATGTCACTGCTTCTCAGCCCTCCAAGAGGGGTTGGGGACACCAAAGAGCATCCCTGGGATGCCCCTCAGGCTTGATGAACTAGGGTGGTATCCTCAAGTGGGACAGGTATATATATCATGGGATAGCAGCGCCTCAGAGGCTCGGGGGTGGAAGGAAGAAGCAAAACAGACAGGGGCACGTAAAGAACAAACTCACTCAGATGAGATGACAGATGACAGTGCAACAAACATGACCTTGGGAGACAGAACCAGGGGGGACACTGACACTTCCCACCACCCCTACTCTTGCAGCAGGAGCAGAGAGTGCCCAGGCCTCTGGGTCCCAGTCTCAGCTTCCACAGAATCTCTAAAGCATCTTAGCAAGAGTGAGGCTACGGCTCAACTGGGATCCAGTGTCAGAAAGACATGCAGATCCAGCCTTGGGGAGAGTCACAGAGACCCACAAAACCACCCCCACCCACCACCAGGACCCAGACTCCCTCTGCCCCAGACAGAGCCTGAGCCACCCCTCAACTCTTAGAACAGGAGGCAGATCTCAGAGCAGCAACTGGGTGCATTTATTTCCTCCAGGGCCTAGCAGGCTGGGAGCAGAATACAAAGGCACTGGGGCATGTAGGCCTGTTATGGCCTGGAGTTCAGCTGCCTGGGTGGTTAACTGTGAACAGGTACCAGGCTGCATAGGGACTGGGGTGATCCTCCCAGAACTTAGAGAAGGGCCCTTGGGGTGTGGAAGCAACACAACTTGGCACAGATGCATGAGAAGGGTTATGGAGTGGGTGTGAAATGGATGTGCTGAGGGTAAGTGACCCATGGGGCCTGGTGTGTTAGAGTGTCTTAGAGTCAGAGGTAACTTGGGGCATGGCATGTTGGGACATGTTGAGTCCTAGCTGTTGTCTGAGAAGCTAGTTGCCAACAGCTGGGAGAATGGAAAAGCCGGTGGGTTGGCAGGACCTACAAAGACATGACTGCAGACAGGATCAGCCCTGGGAGAGACCAAAAAGTCCAAGGTGACACCTATAGCGAGGTGATGAGAGGAGAAGTCTGGGGTTCCCATTCAGGAATACATAGTCAGCTGCAGCCACTGGGGAGAGAAGGGCACAGAGAGTGAGGAGGAAGGGAAATGGGAATACCAGGAGCCCTTCTCTGCCCTCCCCAGAGGTTTCTGGGAAAATAGGAGGAAGGGAGCCCAGTTTAGAGCTGAGGGAAGGTGTCCCCTGCTGGGAACCCACATCCCAGGATGGGAGTTTCTTACCTCTTGGATGTTCACTTGAATTTGTCCGGTGCCATCTTTATCAAGAGATTTGAAAGCACCTAGAGGAGAAGGGAAGGTTTGGGAGGAGATTAGCTTTTTTTTATTGAGTATTGTGTGCCAAGCACTATAAAAAGCACTTTTCATGTATCCATTCATTTAATACAATTCTGTGAGATGTGTCATTTTAAAATTTGAGCCTGGCTGGGCGTGGCTCAGCGGTTGAGCGTCGACCTAGGATCCAGACAATCGGGGTTCGATTCCCAGTCAGGGCACATGCTGAGGCTGCCAGCTCCATCCCCAGTGGGGGGCGTGCAGGAGGCAGCAGATCAATGACTCTCTCATCATTGATGTTTCTCTCTCTCTCTCTCCCTCTCCTTTCCTCTCTCTGAAATCAATAAAGATATATTTTTTAAAATAAAATAAAAAATAAAATTTGACACAAAGAAGTGATGTGCTCCTGGTCACACAATGAGAAAGTGAGGAAATAGGGATTGAAACCCAGGCTGTTACCACCTCAATAATGGCCTCCATATACCCCATCACCCTCTGCCCAAGTCCCAGCCTCCCACCAACCACTAAACCCTCCAGTTCCAGCCTAAACAGACTATTGGAAAGAGACTCTGCAGGATCCAGTTCCTGCCTTACAGTCTGGCGTGGCTCCCGCTCCTGCCCTGAAACTCCACTCCATGTTCCCCACCCACAGCCAAACCTGGGTAAACAGGTGCCCACACTGCCTTTGCTTCCTCTCTTTCATTCTGCACTGTTACCACCCTCAGATGTCCACATACCTGGTGTCCTGCTCGCCGCACTCACTGCAGTTACTATTGATCTTGCTGGTAAATCCAATGGGCATGTCTTGGGCCTTCTCATATGTGACTTTTGGCATCATCTGTCCTATTGTCCATTCCTGCCTTCCCTTCACATCCCTGACATACCTGTCCCTTTTCCTTTACCCATGCTCTTAATGTACGGTCCTTCCTGGTCTCTTGGGAGGTAGGGGAACCAGAGCCAAACCTGACCTTGTCCCTCCCCCTGCCTAGAACCTGCTGTAGCTCTCTGTTGCTCCCACTAAAAATTAGGGGTGTCTGAGCACCCCTAAAAATTAGCATTTACAGCCCTACGTGCCCATTGCTCTTGCTTCCTTTCATTCAACTCTCTTGAACAGGTCAAAGTTCAAATTCTGGCTTTACAACTTCCTCGCTGAGTGGCTGTGAGCAAGCAATTTTGTCTCCTTCAACCCTAGGCTCCTCCTCCGTAAAATGGGGACAATAATTCCCACTTCTCAGAGTGGCCTTAAAGATTCAGTGCATTAATGTTCAAAAGAGCCTTCATGATCCAGTCCCTACTGTCCCCTCCTCACAGTCTTATGTCTCACCATTCTGCCCCCTCTCTTCAGCATGCTGAACTGAGTTCAACAAAAACACCAAAAGTACCATCTTCTCTTTCCTTTCTAGACCTTCGCACAGGCTGTTCCCACTGCAACACTCATCCTCTCCTCTCACGGGGTCACTCCTCCTCACCCCACCCCTAAGGTCTCAGCTCACATGTGCCTTCCTCCAGGAAGCCCTCCTTGACCCCTCAGGCTGCCTCTTAAGTTTGAAGCCCTCAGAGCTTTCCCAGTCACACATGTAAACCCACTCTGCCCTGAGCTTCCCCTATCCCAGCAGCAACCATTCTGAGCTTTGCCTTTCCACTGGACGGTGAGTGATGTGAGGGCAGGATCTGTGGCTGTTCTGGTCACTGCATTGCCAGCCTCAGTGTTAGGCTCAAAGACCTTGGCCAATGGAGGTTGAACAAATAAAATCCCCACCAGGGAAGAGAGTTGGGGTGTTACTCACGGAACATGGCATCCAGCCTGACCAGGCAGCTGATGAAGTTGTCAAAATCCATGTTCCCTCCCTCATCTGAGTAGCGTCGGATGATCATGTTGTAGAGATGCTCATTTAGATGGAACCCTGACGATGGTTTAGTCTCTCAGGTGTGCGGGCCACGCAGCCCAACCCACTCCCAGCCCCAGAATTCAGGCTCAGACCAACTCAGTGGAGGCTGCGTCACCAATACCACCCCCAGCGCCACCATGTCCCCGCCAGCCATACCTGCTGCCTCAAAGGCCCCGGGAAGTTCACTGCTGCCAATGGTCCCTGAACGGTCAACATCAAACTTTTTGTATATGGCCTGTGGGGACAGGAAGATCAGGGATCATATAAGCACCATGGAGCACAGCATCTCCATGGCTTAGAAGTCTTCATGCTAGGAGTTTCTGAGGTCACCACACACCTGCCACTTTTTGATGTTGTTCCACAAATACTTGAACTCCTCGAAACCCAGCTTGCCTGTTGTGTCACTCTGGCAGGGAGGTGTTAAGAATAGCTGTACCAAATGTGTGCATTGTACACCATGTGTACATCATGATGATAACTGCCAAGCAGGGAAACATGGGCTACAACCCCAGCTCCTGTCTCACCCTAGTCATGTTGCCTTGGGTGTGGTGCTATTTCTTGTTTTATCCATACATATTTTATGTTTTTTTTTTAAAAATTGTACTTATTGATTTTAATGAGAGAGGAAAGGAGGGAGGAAGGGGGATAGGGAGAGGGGGAGAGAAAGAGAGAAACATCAATTTTGTTGTTCCACTTATTTATACATTCCTTGGTTGTTTCTTGTATATGACCTAACTGGTGATCGAACCCACAACCCTGGCCTATCAGGATGATGCTCTAACCAACTGAGCTACCTGGCTAGGGCCACTTTATGTTTCTAAATGGTTAGGACTCTCTTTAAGCATAACCATGTGGAATTATAATGAACTTTCCCAAACTACAAATTTCTCACCTGAAAATAGTTGCTAATTCCTTATTTATAAAATCCTTGATAGTAATTTGATTTCCTAAATGTTAGAACATGTAAAAAACAGGGGCACCTTAGAGCTCTAAGAAAATGAGGTGAATATCAACAATAGCCAAGACTTACCAGATTACCTAGTACACACCAGACAGCTGTAAGCTTCTCAGAACACAATTTTTATCACTAAATCCTCAGTAATATTCCCAGTCACAGAGAGAGACAGATTCAGAGCTGAAAAATCTACCTGCATAAGATCATAGTAACACCTAACACGCACAGACTGCTTACTATGTACTACGCACTGTGCTAAACCTTTTGCATGTAACTCTTAGTTGGGTATCACCATTGTCATTTTACAGATAGGCAAACTGAGGCACAGGGAGGCTCAGTTAGCATGTATATGTGCACTTGGGCATACCTATGACAGAAGCTTGAGTTCTCAAGCCCAAAAGACCTGGAGTCCAAATTCCTGTCCTGCCACTTACTCTTTACAGTATTTGTAACTTCAGACAAATGACTGCCTCTCTCTCTCTGAGACTCAGTTTCTTTACCTACAGAATGGAATGTAATAATTGTATATGTCTAACAGGATGGCTGTGAAGTGCATGTAAGTGCCAGCTATGACAGCTGATGTTTTTATTGTCACATGTCCATAGGTGGGTGTGTGCTCTAATGTATTTCTGTCTACATCTGTGGGTATGAAAGCTATAACCTGGTTCCCACTCTTGTTCTCAGAAAATTCCTTCTGCACTCAAAGCCTCTCCTAGACTGCCCTCAAGGATACATCCATCACGGCCACCATGCTGCGACATGTGTCAATGCCAAAACCGTCAGTCTTCAGATCAGGGTCTGTGGGGGACAGGTTGAAAGTCAGAGGCTAGAGGTCACAGCTACCCCAGCTGCCATACCTCTAAACCTGCCCAATGTGTTGACCCCCGTCACTCACGTCGGGTCACGACCTTGTTGAGAATGTTCATGAGTTCTGTTGCACTGACTTCCATGTCCTGCAGGGAAGTTTGGGGTGGACCGGGGGTGACTAAAAGGGGCCTGGGGGTGTCATGAAGGAGGATAGGAACTTTGGGATTGCCATGGTTGAGTGTGTGTGTGCAAGGGCCACCCAAGGGAAAGTATGGAAGAGTTAGGACAGGTCTAAGGACCCTGGGTTACTTACTTCTCCAGCCAGCTGGGCAAAGAGCCTCCGGAACTGCCGGACCTCCTCACTCTCGTTGGCCTCGATGTTGGAGTAATGAGTGCGTGGGGGCTGCAGAGGGAGGAGATCTCAGAGCAGGTAGGGGGAGGGGTGGGGAGGGGTGCCCTGGCCAGTACAGCCCGAGGTGGTAAAGTAACAGTGGACTGGGTAGCTGAGTGATCGAAGGAATGAGAGGTGGTCAGTGAACAGGGGTGGGTAATAGCTAAGTCTGTGGACATGACAAGGGGAAAGACTTAATGAGAGGGGTCTCATAAGACGGAGAAGGGGTGGGGCTTCTCCAAAGGGACAGGGAGGGGTGCTGGAAACGGCCTCAGAGTGGGAAGAAAGGCTTCAGGTTGTGGGGGGCCGCTTACCGGGGGCTCTGGGTTATACTGCGCAGCCGCCTCGCTGGAGGGAAACGGGAATTAGCGTCAGGGAGCCGGGCCTCCAACGGGCAGCAGTAGCCCCCACAGCCAACCCCTCCAAACCCCAGGCTGCCACCTCCCTAACTGCTCCCTCTGCCTGCCTTCTCTCTCCTCGTCCTCACCTGTCCCTATCCTTGCTGCCCTGGTTGCCCCCGCGAGGGAACTGAGGCCCACCTCAAGCTAGGCTCCGCCCACCAGAGCACACCTGCCCAGTGCAGCTGCCTCAGTAGGCTCAGCCCGTCCGAGGGCTCACTTCGTAAAAGTTCTGCCCCAGCTTCTGGGGGGGGGGGCGCCCAAACTCCCCAGATCCCGCCTGTCTAGGAACCCACTTCATCGCTAGGGCTTCCTGAACGCCTGTGTCTTCCCAGCACCTCACCCCCGCTCCATCAGTTCCCGACCCTTGGAGGGATCACTGCTCAGTGGCCAAGGCTAATTAAGCCCCTAATTAGGACAAGTCCACCACCTGCCCTACCTCCGCGAGGACATTTTTCTATTTTAATCCAGCCAGTTCCCAGCGGGGCTGAGCCCCTTCAAGTCCATTTATCTCATCCCAGTAGGCCTCGGCCTCCTCTTCTCAGCGACCCACCTACGACGGCGGTGGCCCCGCGCCCACAGAACCAGCCTCGCCCCCATGAGGTGACACCCAGCCTCACTGACTCCGCCCCCTCAACGTCCGTCTCCAGGTCAGCAAAAGCCGGCTGGGTCCAGCCCCAGGAAGCTCCGCTCCCCAAAGCCCCGCCGGGACCCTCAACAGACCCAACAGATCCAACAGATCCAACAGATGGTGCCCCCCCCATGGAAGCCCCGCCCCCATGAACCGCCGTCCGCCTCCCTAGGGCCCGCCCCCTCAGGGCCCGCTCCCTAGCCCTAATCCAGGCTAATCAAGGCTCCGGGTCAGTCTCCGGGTTACCCCATTCTAATCCTGCCGGGCCGCCTCCAACGTCAGGCCCCGCCCACCTGATGG